CATCGTTGATCATCGGGTACAATTAGCGAATGCAGAAATGGCTCGTGTATGCAAATTTATCTGGCAATCCTGGAAAACTATATATATACCACTGCTCTTGCACGATTTAATCACGCTACGTGAGCAATTCAATCTCTTATTTTCTTCTCTGTTGACCAACGTTGTTCGCGACAATATTACGGAAAGAGAAATAGAAGGTAAAAGCTAAAAAAAAAAGTTTTTTAAATTTATCCTCCCCTTTTGTCTTTCCTATTTCTTTTCATTTTCTCGACGAATTTCTCCTTTGATGATTATTCGTATCATATCACGAACAAATTCATTTCATTCATTTTTTGGAAGGGTATAAATGTACCACTCACTTTGTAAATTACTACAAAGGGAAAAAGAAAATTATCAGTTAATAGAAAAAGTGAAGTGAAGTGAAAGGTAGCAATCGCTTTCTCGATTGTAGAAAAGATGAAAAAGGGGGTGTGGTTAAGGGTAGGAATCGGGAGCGTGGGGGACTAGGTAAAGATTAAAGATACGAAAGAGATGAGTGGGAAAAATAATTTCCCTAAGGCGTGATTAATGAATTTAATTAGAATTAATAATTAGTGTCATATAGGAGAAGAAAGTTTTCTCTTTTCATTCCTAACTTGATATCTACCTACTTACATGCATACATACATACATTTATACATATATAAATACATAGATATATAACATCATTAACCCAACCGACATGAATATTCTTCTTCTACGTTTCTCGACACAATTAGTAGCGAATCTTTGTTAAACACGTATAAGAGTTTGCGACTCATTAAGAACGTTTTATTAGTGACGAATGTTTTCGCATAACCGATCTACGAAAGTAGTGTTCGCGTCACGTGCGTTTCCCTGGAAACAGGATCGTGCCATACATATATATATATATATCTTTTCCCTCAGCGTGTCTAATTAACCTCTTTGGTAAAACTACTCAACGACAATTTATACTGGTCATGTTCATTCCTTTCGAATCGAAATAACGAAAGGGAAATAAATGCTAATGAAAATTAGAAGAAAAAAAAAAACAAAAAAAAAATTTCAACGGTATTAGATGAAATTATTAAAGAAAAATTTCAATAGAATTGTCAATGAGAAGGATCATTTTTTCGTGTGAGTGTTAAACATACGCGTATGCGTGTGATAAGAAAGAACATTCAAGAAACGATATTTAATAAGGTTCCTACATTCCAATTGGAAATCATATCATATAATCAAGGGAAGCATTCAGAAAGTTTTCTAACACGAAGTTAAGTTAAAGCAAACTTTAAGTTCTTATAGAAGGACGATCGATCTTTCAAGGAAGAAGAGAAAGAGAGAGAGCCATTGAAATCACCGAGTTTTCGTCTCTATCGTTATCCGACATCAATGTCATCCTTTTCACGTAGAAAGAACATATGAATGTCGATAAAGAAAGCTTGATGAAGATTAACGGAAAATTATTCGAAACTTTCATCGTTATTTTGCAAATGATCTATATAAATATTTTTTGTTATTTGTTCTGAATACGATCGTTAATGAGAAGAGTTCACTTCGAAATCGTTAACAATATTTTTTAGGCTTTATATCAAAAATTTAAAGATTAATTTTAAATCGTTAAATAATTATTTCTATTTGTAAGAAAATTTTTTCAAATAAGAAATAAATCGTAAACTTTTTATTCAAGGTTGAACATGAAGGATACGTTTATAAATCAATTCTTTCGTATCGTATGTTTAGAAAGAAAATAAAGGCATTTGATTTAAAATTAAATGATTAATTGAATACTTTGAGAAATGTGTTACTTCACTCATGGAACGGAAATTAAGTATTCAACGTGTCAAGTGCAGGAGCGTTACAGATGCGTTTTGTTAAGCTTAGTTTCTGGGATGTCGTAACGAGAAGAAACATTAGTGAAAGCTTTTATGTTAATTAAAACGATCAACTTTTGTTTAGATTAGATCTTCATTAGAAATAATTATAACGTTATTCTTTTTATATATTATGTTAATGTAATAACATTAATCATTTTGATAACGAAACAACGAACAAATCAAAATGAAGACAAAAAATATAACAAAAATATATATAATTATGTAATGAAACAAGTTGGACAAGTTGAAACAAGTTTGAATTATAAGAACAAAGTCTCGATGATAAGCTATTTTTTTTTTTTTTGAAAGAGACATAAACTCGATCTATCTAAATACATCGTTAGCAGTCTCGTGTACGTTTCTGTCAGCTTTTAGCAGCTTCACTGGCAGCAAGTTGTGCTGTCGAGCAGATTGAATGAACGAATTAAGTTTTCATTGCGACGATGTGTGGTACTCGAGGGACTCTTTCTGTCTCTCTCTCTTTCTCTTTCTCTTATTCGTAGTATCACTATCTTTCTCTTTCTTACTCATGATATTACTATCTCTCTTTTTCTTTTACACATCCGTAGTATACTCGTCTGTTTTTTTCCATTTTCTTTTTCTCTCTCTCCCTCTATTTCTTTTTCTTTTTTTAACTCGTAGTATTTATTTCTGTCTCTCTTTTTCCATGTATCTTATTTTTTTAAATGCCATGTCCAGCCCTGTATACTTGTGTACTTGTTATCTTGTTCTATCTCCGTTTAATCGTAATAATTCTCCCACTACATCGTAGTACTTCTCTTTATTGAGGGACTTGACGGAAGGTCGTGAGGCGACCGCGGTTATTGGCTGGGACAACAATTGCAAGGTTAAACGGAAGCACGAGCTCGTTTATCGTTTATGTGATTCATTTATAAGCGCATATTGTTCAAAAAAAAATTATTTTAAGTATAAAACGATAATGTAACGAGATTATTGTAGGTAATATAAAAAGAAACGTATGAATGATTAAAAATCTTTTTATCTTGCCATCCTATCCTTTCTCTTCGTTGCTGAACAAGCAAATGTCCGCGAACTGGTTAAATTAGCGAGTATGCGGGAAAGCACTTAGAGAGAACATAGCTCGTACACGGTGAACGTTTCTAAAGTACTTACATATATACGCTCAAGCGTAAATCCAAAAATTCAATGTCCAAAGAGAATAGAATTGAAAGGGAGAGAAAAAATTTATACAAAAATTATTATTTTATATTTATAACACACACACACACACAGACTTGCATGCGTATGGATACGTGAACTCAAACATATCCGTATAAATATTTGCACAACTCATTACCTTTCAATATTCGCAAACATGCATTTAATAAACTATCGAAGAAAAATTTATACGAAACTATGAAAAATAAAAAAGAAATATAAAATGTAACGTTGTTTGCCGAGCACTACTATCATCGAGTGAAGCGAGTTTTTACTTTACATGAGTAGATCGATACAGGCATAAGGCTGCAAAAAAGAAACAAAACCATAATTCGACCTAATTATTAAATATACATATTGTATACGTAGAAGTTTAATAAATTATTTAGAAACAAAATTATTTTAGATAATTTACATTAGATTACAAATTCGTATATATTAATCCAAATGATTTTTTATAGTCGTTCTAATGACACGTAGATCTACATCCCTTTGAATCTAAACACGTAATAGTCGATTTATCGAAAATCAAAATTTATATTTCTATACACATGTCTCAGGTTTTTTCGTATTTTTTACACTAAAAAACTTTTTATTTGTGCTGTTAAAAGTGTTCATTAATTTCTGCAACTGCATACTTAATTAGTTTTATCATAACATTAAGTATAGCTATCTTAGTTGCACATATTTCTTGTTTTCTTTCGTAAATAAAAATTAAGAGAGGAGAGATCAGGTTATCTGAGCGATCAATTTATTATTCAAAGAATAATACGTTGAATTGCTTCAAGATAATAAACAACATATGCAGAATTACCAAACATCATCTTTGAGTAATACATTTAGACAGTTTTATGATTTATATTATAACTTTTGAAATCAAAAAAGATTTAAACGCTATTTCTATCTTTCGAAATTTTTCGGTTAACATTATTATTATTTTTCTGCAATGAATTAATGTATACCGTAATGCAGCCGCAGTTACGATAAATCCATTTATTAATTAGAAATCAAAAGACAAGCTGGAATTAGCCGCAAAAGCATTTTACGCATACTGAGAAAGCACAAATACCATTCATATCATGTATCATAGGTTCAAATACTGACCGTAAATGACTGTTATCAACGTTTAGAATTTTGTAATTGGGCTCTCACTCAAAAAAACAACTTTTTCAGCAATGTTATGTTCACGGACGAAGCAACGTTTATGAAAAATGGATCAATAAATTCAAAAAATGCCCATCATTGGTCAACTGAAAATCTTCATTGGTTTAGACAAATGGATAATCAACATGAATGCTAGAAAATAACATCAGATACATTAAGAAACGTTAATGAGTCATTAATTTCTCGATTCAGAAAGTGTATTGATGCAAATGGTCGCCACATTGAACCTTTTTTGTAAATAGATATAAAAATTAAAATATCTCCTAAAGTAATAATTTTTTTTACATAATAAGGTTATTTCTTTTTTGTAAATAATATGAAAGAGCATCAGATGATGCAATAAAAAATATATGATTCCGTTTAAAAAAACATTAATGACCTTCATATGTCCTTTACACATCCACCTACAAAAAATAAAGTACCATCAGTATGAACCCCTTTCAAAACCATTCAACTGCATGTGAAACATTGTCTGCTACGCGTAATAATAATAACGTAAATCTAGATGGGAAAATGTGGTGACCCACCCTGTATACCACCCGTATATTAAAGCTTTTCTTTCTTTCTCTAACAATAAAACTAAYTCTAACACTGACTCTCTTATTTGAGAGTACGCATGAAGATAAGAGACGTAGGTGGAAGAGTTGATGGAGATGGACGACGAGGAGAAGGAGATGGTAGTTGTGTGGGAAGAAGAGAAGGAGGAGGAGGAGGAGGAAGAGAGTGAGAGAGAGAAAGAGTGAGAGGAGGAGTAAGAGGGGGAGGAAACGAACAGAGGACCAGCAGAAGCTCAACCGGGATCGTCAGAGTGCCCTCCGACTTGGCCGCGCACGCATCCCTCTTCTACAAAGAGCAACGATATCGAGTCGATATCGTGAGAGCGCGCGCGTTGACAACCACTACGAAGAAGAAGATACCCCAAGAACGTCAACGAGAGAGGTAGAAAGAGAGAGAAAGAAAGAGAAAGAGAGAAAGAGAGAAAAACTACTTTCGAAGTTTTGAAAGTTCGCGCATTCTTCCGGTGAAAGATCGAAATACGTTAGGACAACGATAACGATAATCAAAATCACCACGAGGAGAAGAACGAAGATTAAGAAGATTAAGGAAAAGAAAGAAGAGTGAAATGAAAGAATTATTATTCGAATATTCACTTTTATTCAATTACATGGTATTTCGGAAGATCGAGAATAACGTTTAATTGGTATCGATTTGTTTCACCTTGTTGAAAAATAAAAAAAAAAAACAAAAAATAAAAAAGTACAAGGGAATCCTTCGTATTATACTTCATCATTCGAATTGTAATATGGTTACTGTTATGAGCGTATGAATGGTGTTGTTGTTGAAGTTTCAAGAGTATATTATAGTGTTCATCGATCAATCATCGACTAAATATTTATTATCAATCGATCGAAGAAATATATAAAAAAAAAAATAAAATAAAAAGAAAGGGATTAATAGGATCAAGAGGTCGCGTGATAACGAAGGATAAAGGTCGAAATCATCGTGAGAAGATTTTTCGCGCGATGCGCCGCTGAACGACGATGCCTGCTGAGATATAAAAATAAAAAATTGCAGAGAGTATTGAAACATATATATATATATATATATATATATATATATATATATATATACTGTGCGTTTATACACGATTAAATTTTCCTCTAGGATGCATCTTTGATAACATTTGTACCAATATAATATAATAGTCATCTCTTTTTTCTTTCTCCTTTTCTTTCTCTCTTTCTCTCTCTATCTTTCTCTTTTTCTTTCTCTCTCACTCTCTCTCTCTCTCTCTCCTTTTCTCCATCTTTATCCGTGTCATTGACTTCTTCATTGAACGATTATCAAAACAAGAAGGAGAATATTTTGTTAGAAATAAATTCGGTCATTTCTCGTGTACTCTATATCCGAAAGGAAGAATATAAATCTTCATCGGAATAGTGTTGTACATATCTCGGACCGGAACAAGTCCTTGCCTTTCAGAAACTTGAGGATAACGTTGTGCTAACGTTGACCGTATAACACGCGTGAACAATGAAGTGGTACTACCTAGTGCTGGCACTGATCGCTTTAACCAGGGCCGACAATGCGGTCCAAACAACGGAATATACGAATTTCAACTGTCCTGAACTCAATTCTCAAGAGGAAATCGATCTTGATAAGGTTAGTTCGTCGATTTATCTCAATTCTAATATATACCTAATTTTATAGAAATATAATTATAATCAAAAATTGATCTAAACAAAAATGAAATTTAGGAAATAAATCAAATATCACTGATTGATTGTTTAATCGATGTTTCATCTTGACCACGGATTATTATTTTAAAATGAATTAATTTTTTATTGTTTTTTGTTTTCTCATGTTTATATGCAAGTACATGAACGCATTGAGAGAGACAGATTTCAACGATATTCTCCTGTAATTTCACGAATGAAAATATACGCGCGTTCTCGCGCAATTTTTACGAGAGACCAAATTACAATTTTCATGGGTAGGGGTTGAAAGAAGAGAATGGGAGAGAGAGAGAGAGAGAGAGAGAGAGAGAGAGAGAGAGAGAGCATAGAGTAAATGGTTATGGTTCGTGTAATATCCATAATGAACGACTTGTGATTCGATCTTTCTTTCTCTCTCTTTATCTCACCCTCCTTCCCTCATTTTTTCATTTTTTTTTATCAGCAGTTGCTCGCGTTTATCACGTTTCGAGCAAACAAAAATGTATGAGTGGGTTGGGCGGTTGGTGAGACGATGTTCGGACGATTAAAGTTGTAAATTGTAAATGTCACCTTTATGAGCTGGATAAAAGCTTGTGGAATAATGGAACTCTTGATTTTTTTTTGTTTTTGTAATACGTTCGTTGGTCAAATTTCGAAGAATTTTCAATTTGTATTCATGAAATCTCTCTTTCTCTCTCTCTCTCTCTTTCTATCTTTCTCTTTTTATACATATATATTATATATCTCTCGTACACGTACGCATTTATACACATATGTATTAATTTTTTGATAGAAAAAGTAAAAAATTGAAGGAGAAATTCGAAACGCGATCGAAAAGATAAGTTCGATAAGCGTTAGAGGTGGGTCACGTAATGGCTCGTAGTTGGCCGAAGCTTAAAGTATCGTTAATTCAAAACAATTACGAGTTCCTGGCACGCTGCCTCGGCGAAGTTGTCGAGTCCAGAGAGAGTGTGAGAGATAGAAAGAGAAAGAAAAAGAGAGACAGATACTGAAAGAGGGAAAAAGGGAGGAGCTGGTTTATAGTCGTTACATATAAAGTTAAGTTAACCGATGGATAATATAATCTGAATAAAATGAAATGTTCGTTTAGAAAATCACATTCATTTTGACCAAGCAAGCTATTTGACATTTTCCTATATGCTCTACGTATGCATGACTATCTCTAATGTCCCTTGAGAGATTTATGAGAAATCGTCGAGTTGGATTTCAAGCTTAGAAAACAATTTCCGTGTGTCTTGCTTGCATTGGTAATCATCTGCCAGGATAAATCTCGTTTCCTTTAAGAATTTCTCTAATGTCAACGTTGAAATATTATATTTTGTTGAAATAAGTGGAATATGGAAAAATATTACGAGAGAGAGAGAGAGAGAGAGAGAGAGAGAGACAGACAGACAGACAGAGCATGACGAAATTTTCGAAATAACATATTTCTTTTACGTTTCTTGATCTTTTTCTTGTTTTTTTTTTTCTAATCAACTTAAATTAAATTAATATTTTTTCGTCGTTTACAAATGTCACATATTTGATGGTGTTATTTTTAATTTTGTTTCTTTTTTAATTCACAGGAGATTAATTTAGATGTTTTCTAATGGTTACATATTTGATTGAGTTTTTTGATTTATTGTTAGATGGGTTAATTGACTAATGTTATTTCATTGTTTAAAAATGTCACATATCTGGTTGGATTATCTTGATATTTTTCTTTTATTTCTAATTTATCTCACCGTAAAATTGATTCATCTAATACCAACTTTAACATTTGTTTGTCGTTTTAAAAAAATTGTCATTTATTTACGTAATTACGTTAACGCAATGTTCAATATCGTGACATTGTTTCGTTGGTCGATTGTTCGTAAATTTCGATCGTATAGTTTATAGTTTCATCCATATTATTACGATTATAATGGAATATTGTCGGGTATAAAAAGAAGATGAATCATACGAGATAGATGGAGAGAGTGCTCGACGTCTACCAAGGGAGATAAAGAGAGAGAAAGAGAGAGAATTCGGCGTTGTCAACTGACGTTGTCAAGCTGGTTACATCGCGGAGTTCGTCGAGGCTTAATAGTACTTCCTATTATTCGAAGTTTCGAAACGTGCAAGGTGGATAATCGAAGGTAGAAGTACATCGAATACTATACCAATATATATACGTATATTCGTAGTCACGTTTAGAATGTGCATAGAATTTAACATGGAACGTAGAATTCGATAATAGTAAACTTCCGTTATCGATTCGATAAAATTTCGCGCTAGTTGATGGGACTTGGCGAGGAAAGTGGAGAGAGACGGGTAAAAGAGGGCTTGGGGGCTTAGGGAGTTGGTTTTATTTTAACCAAAAAATTTCACCAAGATCTTTTTTTTTTCTATTTTCTCTTCACTCGTTGATTTTAAAAATATCTTTTCTTTTTCACACTTTTATCGTGAGATCTCATTTCTCTCTTTCGTCCAAGTACCATCAAGTCTCTCTCTTCTCTCTCTCTCTCTCTCTTTCTTCACCTGAAATTTCCCTGCTTGGTGATAAACCGTAAACACTTTGCATCTCACGTCTTCTACCCTTTAGTTTCGTTCTTTCTTCCTTTTTTTTTCCTTTCTTTATTTCTTACCCTCCATCACTGGTGTTCTCTTGCTTGTTGAAAAGAAACAAAAAAAAAAGGGTAAGAAAATACGAAAAGCGAAACGAAACGAAGTCGTGTGTCGAGTTGGTATAGAGAAACGAAGTGGTAGGACCTTTTCCACGTTCCGTTTCCTTCTTGTTTTCCATATAGCTGACTTCTCGATTAGCATAAGCTTCGCTTAAAATCCATGCGCTGAATATAAAGCGAGCCGAGACGTTGTCGTTGTTACTAGTTGAAGTTATGGGCAAGCTGTTGCGAGGGTTGCAGCTGCGTATCTCTCTCTCTCTCTCTCTCTCTCAATTTTCCTCTCTTTTTGTTTTTTTTGTTTTTACATCTTGTTACACTTATGATCAAAGAGAAAAAAGTAACCGGAGGGTAACAATTTCATTGTAATTTGTGTCCATTGATGAATAACCCGAGGATATACAATACTTTCTTTAGTATTGCAAATACGATTGTCTTAAAGATATTCCTTAGAAACATTTTTTTTTTTTGATTGAGAAAACGTTGGTAAAGAAGAGTTAAAAAAAAGTTTGATTTGTTCTTTTTGCTACAATTTTTCCGCTTCGCTTGAAGATTTACGTGGCTATCGGGATGGAATTTATGAACAGTCTCCTTCGTCTTGAATCTTTCCGTGATCTTGAACTTCCGTTTTACCCGGACTTACACGATGTCGTTCTCGTCCTCGTCCTCATCCTAGTCGTCATTTTAGTTGTAGTAGATATCGCAAATCCTAGATATTCAGTAGATTTTTTTTTTTATCTCAACCATATATTTTTCCATCCTTCGTATAAAATATATGTAGAGAAATTTTATGGTCAATTGGACGATAAGATGACAACGATTGGAGTTATACTCATAAAATGTCTTCGTTGGTAACGTTTAAGTTTTTTAAATTAGTATACTTTTCATTTGTTATTAATCAGTTATAATATAATCATTTAATATTGTAGGTTTATCTATTAATCGTAACAATTTATTTGGTGTTATGATATTAAATTGATTGCTGTTATCTGAAAAATAGGCCAAAGTTATCAAAAATAATGGAAATTATTTCAATGTATAACAGTTGTACGATTACTATATAAATAATTAAATTAATTGTCAATGTTAAACAATTAATATTTTCTTGTAATACAATATTTCAATATTCTTATACGTAGAATTATATTTTAAGATTATTATATTTTTTAATTGTGATATAAATTTTATTTTAAAAGAATATTTTATTAAAAAAACAAGTAAAACTAGATACAACTGATAAAAAAAAATTAATCTTAAAAATTATGTCCAATCATCCGAAAAATATTATTAGATGCTAAGGAGGTTTAATATAATATTACATAGAAAAAAGAATAATTCTATTTTTATTATATCTTACGTAGATGCGATTACTCTTTGCGGGATCAATTTTTGATCATTTTAATAAAATGTTCTTCTGTAATGAAATTGAAAATTGAATATATCTTAAAATATGTTTTTTTTTTTCTATCAAAATTTGAAAACAATGAATTACAAGCAAATATCAATTATTTAAAATTGACAGTAGTAGTACGAATATTCTTATGACTCGTATAATACTCTAGTATATACATATACTATACGTTATCGTGAAATGACTGAAATTGGAAAATGTCAAGATTCACATGGTCGCATGGTATATGTATTATTATATTTTAATGTATAAGAATAAACCCCAATATTTTTGATCTGTCACCGACGCATTTGGCATGTGTTGATAAGCGATCATATGAATCTTGACATTCTTCAATTTCTATATTTCACGGTATAACATATATAAATTAATTAATAGAAATAATCAACGAGAAAGTTCAGGCAGAAATCACTAGGCTATAAATTGATTAACGCGTGTGTTCTATTCGTTGCACTCTGATCGAAATCGTCGTTTAGATAATCAAAGTTAAATTCTACAGGTTTCTAAGTATTCGTAATAGTACATACATACATATATAGATAAATTGATGTATACACACATACGATAGGTGTGTACGAAGTCATCGACCGATAGATTAGCATTTACATAACATAGAAGGCAAGCTAACGATGAAAATCAGATTTGTCGATGACGAGATGGCTGTCACGATGAAAGACGTCTTTCTCTTTCCTTTTAAACGTCCGATAAATGACCTCATTAGCTTTTTTTTTTATTTTTTACCTTCTTTTTTTTCCGAAGAACCTATCAATCAAAAAGGTTCTTTTAAAAACAATCTTTTTTCTCTATCAAATTTTCTCTCAATTATATCAAAGCTTGACGAAGGTATCAGACGATTAACAAAATATATTTTAT